ACACGTGACTCTCACTCCATCTTTTAGCTTATATTTGGACAGTGACAAAGAATACTTGACTTTAAACCAAATCTTCATTAAAAGGACAAAATTCAACAAGCACAGACATTTGAAATAGAAATGCAATAATGAAGCTATTGCACTGTGTTAGTTGGTACAATTCCAGCTCTTCCATCAGGATGATCTAGATGACATTTGGCCTTGTCATTTTTTCACCCTGGGACAGGATGAATGTCTTGTAAAACAGCATGTTTCTGCTATCCTTGCTTCAGTCAAGCATTCAACAGTACACTCTTTGGGGGGAAAAAAAAAGCAAAACAAATATAAATTGCTGCTACAAAAGTGATAGCTAAAGATCCTAAAGCTTTTGCCAGAATACAAAAATCCATCAGAAGGATGCTGTGTCAATCTGACCTGGCTCACCCTGCTGCCTGAGCCAAGGACAGGGCATTCTCTGTGGAAGGCTGAGCAGGGCCACGTACAGTAAATATTGATACTGTACACATGATATTTGTCAGTAGGACAATCCAAGCCTGCAGGCTGTACAACAGGAAGGCGCAACAGCCACGTGGCCCTGCACTGTCAGCAAAACCCCCACAGATGGGGACTTCTCCCACCTGTGGAAGGAGTATTTTAAAAGTCAATAGGGTGTTTGAAAATGCCTGTCACAGCAGAGGGATGAGCATCCCAAGATCCAGCAGTAAATGGAGCAGAGCAGCATCAGAAGTTACAGGTGGCACCCTGGAGGTATTGGCAGAGCAGTGATCACATTGATAAAGGATGGGAATACATGATCTTGTAAATATTTTAACCAATGTTGGTCTGTCTCCCAGCACATGCATGGAGTGAGCCCTGGCAGACTGATTGCTCCTCCCAGGCTGGGAGTATCCCCTTTTCCAGCACAAATACTCACTTCTAAGGAACCTTTTCCGCAGGAATGAGCTGCAGAAACTAGGAGGGCAGCACCCAAAGAGACCCTGTCTGGCCTTCCCCACTGCCTCAGCAGGGAAACCACCTGGTAGCTGTTTGATCCCCAAAACAAGCAGCCTTTTGCACCCCATGGAAAAGCAATTCAAATGTCACTGTAGCAGAGGCATCTCTTGTTCCCTCCTCAGGGAGGGAGCTTGGATTGATGGCATCCTCCTAAAATAACCCTGGGAGAAAACTGGGAGGTCACCAAAGGCTGAGCTGTAGGCATGACATCTCAGCACTGAGACATCTAAAACATGAAACGCTTTCCTGGGACATTTGGAGATGTATAAAAGAAGAATAGGATGAAAGTCGCAACTCACAGGATTTCAGAGCAGCTTCCAAAAACATGGTACATGGTCCCACTCTGCCCACATGGGGCATGGCCCCTGCACAAACACAGTAGCCCCTTCTCTCTGGGAAGGTGGCTGCTGGAAACCTCATCCACGTGCCTATATTCCCATTTTAACATGGACAAAGGGTTACCAACAAACAGCCTTTCCACCTGGGAAGAGACCATGCTCAGCCATCCCCATGGCGATATTCAAGTCTGCAATTCGATGAGAGCACTGTAAAAAACCCTGCCAAGAGGATAAATCAGTGGCAAAGCAAGCCAGAAGTTACTAAAGAGTTACAGCTCTGGGTAAGTCAAGGGGGACACTGTGCTGATATTTCACAAAGCACCTGGGTATGGTGTGAATTGCTAGAAAACCACGCAGGACTCCAGCCCAGCCAGTGGGTCTGGCAGCAAATGGGCAGGGTGCAGCAAAACTTGGGGCTTCCTCATGGGCTCAAACTACCAAATCCCTCTCTCCCTTAGAAATAACCAGAAAGAACAGAGAGGAAAACTAACCACAGGTTATGCAGCAGGAGCAGCCAGGCAGGGGAGCTGTTTTACACACACCAACTTCCAGAGCCATCCTTATATATCTTTATTGCACACATCTATCCTTACATATCTCATGGGATGAGGCCAACTTCCCTTCCCAGGACAAACTATTTCTACTTAATTCTGCCAAATCCATCTGTTCCCAAGACAACTTTTGTTACTGCCTAACACAGATATTTTGGAAGGGTAAATCTTCCCCTCAACCTCGCAACCCTTTCCCCACCAGTTGCTGAATCGCTCAGAACACTCCCTGGGTGATACTTCAGCTACTAAAAAAGATATTTTCCTCCTGGCAAAGCTTGTGAGATGCCCAGGGGCACAGTATCCCTGCACAGCTGAGCTGGACCACACCACCTTTGCCAACCCCCTAAAATCCTGCACCACCTTGCTAAATCTGCCCACCCAGCACAGGAGCCTCTCCAGCACTGGTGTTTGATTTCCAGGCAATGAGCTTGTTGGTTTTAAGTGGCATTTGGAGTGAGCACACCAGTGGTGAGCTAATTAGTGGGTGCCTGGCTGGAGCATCAGTAAAGCACCAGCCACCTCAGGCTCTGTTTGCTTTGGGTGCCCAGTGCAGGATGGCTGGTCCCAGCAGGCTGTGAGCACATGTTTGAATTGTAGAGCCTGGAAGACATTTGCACTGACTCGTAATTTTGGGGAAAATACTATAATTCATTCGCAGACATGATTTGCCATTGGTGTGGCATAAATATGTCTGTGTATGTACACAGCTCTATTTTTAGAGCTGCACGGCCAGGGTGCTGGCTCTGTGGGTACTCCATTGACAAACAGGATGCACTCTTCTCTGAGCTGGGAGGTTTTCAGTCCTCTCCCTTATTGTAAACATCATCTGCCTTCAAAACCCTTAATGTGTTGCATATGTGACAAACAATAAAAGACCTATCATAAAAAAAAGCCTGCCATCTCTGTGTTTCCCACTGGGGCAACATAATAATGAATTTATTAGCATATAGGGCTCACCAACATATGTTTATAGTCACTCACAAACTTTTGACTTGACAGTTTACAAGTATGTTTAAATCATTAAAGTTTAAGTTGACTGTCCAGTTATTACAGGCTCATTATAAAAAGGAAACAAAGGTTACATTTTATACAACAGGCGATAAATCAAAACTAGCCTGTATTTGAGACTTTTTTTTTTCTTTTGCTCTTTTTCCATCTCCTTATTTTCAAGACCTTTTGAAGGGGCATCTTGGTGAGGCCAGTACTCAGCAGATGTTTGCAGTTAGCCAGCAGGACCAGCAGCACCCACACCAGGGAGCAGGAGAAACTTCCACTGCATCCAAGAGATGCAAATACCTCAGACTCAACCACTCAACCAACAGCCAAACTTGGTGCCAGCCCAAGGCACTCACCTCTCCTCCTCCCCAAGGCATCACCAAATCTATCTGCAAGGCTTGGTAAACCCTTTGGAAGGGAGGATATCTCCACTGCCATGATGGGGCCAAGGAAATTTCTTCCTAAGCTGAACAAAACATCTAAGAAAAGGAAAGCAAAGCCCCCAAATCATGTTCCCTGACTGGAAACCTCCAAGGGTCAGCAGAGGCACTCAAACATGCTCAAAGAAGGGGTTTGAATTTGACCACTGCTCTATGACACAGACTCCTCCAGCCATCCAGCCATGTTCCTGCCTTAACATTCACCACGGGATAAAACCAGGGACTCAGTAACACAACCCCAGCCACTCCCAGTCCTTTCTGCCTCTATTACAGGGTAACCACCTTGGGAAGGAGAGAGATAAAGCCACATTAAATGTAAAAGTTCATTTTGTAAACTATTTCCAGATTTCAAAGCCTGGCATCATTTCAAACCAGCATGCTACCCTAAAATTTAGAATTTGTGGAAAGTGGGGGGAATGTGGAATGGTTTCTGGTCCTTTTTATTTCTTGCTATGTACATGTGATATGATGGAAAAAAAATTAATTGAAAAATACCCTTTCAAAGCAAAAAGAAATATCATTCTCAAAAATGTTGAAAGTGAGTATTTCCACACCATCAGCAACTTTTCCTGGGCTGGTTTCCAACATAAAACTTGAACAGAGTCACAGTTTATATCCAATACCAACCAAATAGGATTCTGTCACTGTCAGATCAGCTTCACCTTTCTGCTCTAAGCTAAACACAAAAAAAAGAGCATTATGGCATGGGCAAGCAAGGAAGAACCAGAAAGTCTCCCTGGCCACCCCAATGGCACAGCTCATGCCCTCTGAGCTCAGTCAGTGCCTTCAAGCTGTGTTGGGCAAACCTCATGCTCTCAGCAACCTGAAAGACTTAACCTGCCAGGAACACCATTCCCCAAAGATGCTGCTGTTCAAAAGTTAATATTTACCCATCCCTTAGCAGAGGCAGCAGCAAACACCCTCCAGCAGAGCAGCACAGGGAGGACAAGTCCTCTTTTCCTGCTCCATGTTCACATACTACAGTGACAAGAGGGGTCTGAGGTGCCAGACGGGCAGGTTGTCAGGGAGATCAATACAGTGATTAAACTAGCCTAGAGAGAGACAGAAAAAGGCAGAAGGGATTATATATCTGGCTTCAGAGATCACTGGTGATATTATAGGGAAGGCTTTAAGAGGAAATTAGAAACACATTAAAAATAGCATCAAGGTGTGACACAAAGATCACAGAAAATGAAACACATATCTCTGCTCTCGATGCAGGACATGGTGAATCACCTGTATTTCTTTAACATACACTTTGATATCTAATTCTCGGATGAAATGAAGTATATTTTATCCTTCTCTGAATTCTATGTTTCTCTTTGAGACTCGGATTGAAGATTTAAAAAGTCTTTTCTTTCCCTTACTCAATATTTGAATATATGTATTTTACATATTATGTCTATAATCTTCGATATGAGACTGGCATTTAATATTTCAGCTCTCACTTCATTAAGGAATTTTAATTATCCCAGACCAATGGGAGGGAATTTATAAACATCTGTGCTTCGTTTAGGAGCCCAAATTTGCCTCTTAAACTTCAAAGCTGTAAAGCTGATTTTATCCAGGTTCAGCTGTCCAGCAAGTGGACCTGAGCAGAGCCCATGGAGCAGCTCCCTGCACCATCACCAAAACCTCAACCCACAGAGGGGCAGCCACTGGGGTACCACCATCCCCATCACCTGCTAAGAACCGGAGCTGGTTCCTCACTCGCAGCTCTCCAGCCCCAGAGCCTCCACCACAGTCATCTTCGTCATCGCAGTCTCCGCTCTCCTCCTCCTCCTCCTCTGGGGTTTTGCCTGGAGCTTTTCGGTGGGGCAAAGCCATCCCTTTGAGGAGCTGAAAGACATGAGGTGTCACAGTCATTCAGCTGCTTCCCTCCACCCTCCCTGCTGCTTCATCCTGCACTCATGGGGGAACTGGGTGACAAGAGGGGGACAGCGCTCAGGGGAGCCAGGAGAATGGGACAAGACCCCAACATACTCCTCATGCCAAAGCACTGAGAAGCTCAGGTCAATTCATGGACAAAGCTGTAAACAAAACCTCAATGGAAGAAACAAAGGAAGGAGGAAAAACCACATTGAGTAATTCTGCCCTTCAGCTTCATCCTGTGAGCATCACATGAGCTGCAGCACATTGACCAGCCCTGCAAGACCCCAGTGCCACCAAAACTGAGAGGCTGGCTACAAAACCTTTGTCCAAAGTTAGGCCAGACAGGGCAAAAACCCATAGCAAGAGGAACCTCTGTTCAGGGTTTCTTACTGCTTTCAGGGACCTGAGAAGGAACACACGTGAATGGAAGTGGCAGATCACTCAGGTTTGTATGGCACCTCACAAACACAACCTAAAAGAATCTCATTCCTCACTCCTGAAGCACAGAGGATGCTAGACAAAGATTTTGGGATAGCCAAGTGACACAATAAAAGCATCCTTTAAAGAATGTTTTAAAGCTGAATCCTAAGTAACAGTGAGAGGTTGCACATCCCTGAGAAAGGGCCTCGAATACCTCCTCTGAGCAGAGTCAGGAGCATTTTCTAAACATGGGTGGGAGCTCCCCACGCTCCCGTCACAGCACATGGAGGGATTAGACACATTTTAAGCTATCAGCTGCCTCTTCCCGCTGACTTTTCTGATTTTGCTGTTGCTGAAAGCAGCCAGCTATTCCATCATAAACCCAGATCCCCTTTGAAAATGTGTGAGTCAGCCAGTTAATATATGCTGAAAATTTCTATCACTGCCACTCTGCCGTTAAAAGCCTTCTTGAATTTAATCTCAGGGGAAAAAAAAAAAACAAATAATGAAAAGGATAAGTAACAGAGAAGATGTTGCAAAATGGGAGCTTTCCGCATACTTCAGGGGTTTAGTTAGTTCCATCTCTTGCAGCAATATGCATGCCTTGCAAGGCATTTTTTAATATCTGAAATCTAGGTTATATTTTTAAACTATTAAGCTAGCCTTAGAAAACAGTTTCTAAAATATTTATCTGCTGAAGTTTATACAGCCTGGGAGGAATGCTTTCGGCATCTGGCTTGCCCTGTCCACAGCAATGTCCACATACCTTACTGTTTATATTAGAGGAGCATAATGTAATGAAAAACAAATGGCTCCATGTGAGACCCCTTTGGGTTCCCCAGCTGCATCAAACAACACAGCAAACCTCTCCTTGGCACGTGCCAATGTCTGCCCGGCGTGATAACCACGCTGGGTCGGTCCCACATCCATGGTAAGCAGCAAAATGCAGCTCATCTCCTCAAAACACAGAGGATGTGTTTCCATGGCCTTCAACAGGCTTTAACTCAGCCTGGTTAAGATCACTTTTCAGGAATTTTATTTTGTTTAGACATTTACAGGCCTCTCTCAGAATATGATGTAGCCACAAAAAAAATAACAAACAAACAGAAAGGCAAGTGCAGTGCTGGGGATACCATGAGGAAGACCTTGCACAGGAACCGAACATGACAACTGTTCAAGCTTTTACACCATCACTGGTACTTCTCTCCTCCAAATGAAACCCCTACATAATGGCAGTCCTCAGCACAGAGAACCTCAGTTCAAGGTACAGCCTGGAGAAGAGGAAACTGAGGCAAGACTTCATTGCTGTATACACCTTCCTCATGAGGGGAAGTGCAGGGGCAGCACTGATCTCTGCTCTGTGGCAACCAGTGACAGGACACGAAAGAATGGCCTGAAGTTGTGCCAGGGAAAGTTTAGGTTAGATATTAGAAAAAGGTTCTTCACCCAGAGGGTGTTTGGGCACAGAACAGCTCTCCAGGTTAGCGGTCACAGCCCCAAGCCTGACAGAGCCCAAGAGGCATTTGGACAATGCTCTCAGGCATATGGTGTGGTTCTCAGGAATGTCCTGTACAAGGCCAAGAGCTGAAGTCAATGATGCTCGTGGGTCCCTTGCAACTCCAAATATTCTGTGATTCCATGAAGTGGAATGAGGGTCTCCCATGCACAGCAGCTAATTACCACACACACCAGTTTGAACCCATTGCCCCATGCACCATTGCTAAACCCTAAGCCCATCACTAACCAAACAAGCCCATCATGGTAGAAGGGACTGCAACCACCCTGCAGCAGGATGCTCACTCCTCTGGGGGATGCTTGCTCCTCTGCATCCAAGGCATAGAGCAAGCCAGACAGGACTGCACCACTCAGCCCAAGAGCACAACTTTCTTGACTTACCCAAAACAGCAGAGGAACTTGCTGGCAGAGAGAATTAAGCTTTGGGATATTTTCAGATTTAATGAGCTCAGTGGGGGTCAGGGAAAAATAAGGATTTTTCAATTGTGTGTTTTTAAACATTAAAATTACTGAGCATTTCTTGTGTTACTACTTTTTCTTTCTTGGCGTGCCATAAATTAGCAGCTTAATTTCTCTGCCTTTGTAGCCACAATAAGACAGGAACTTTCTGAGAAACGTCACACAGGCCCCGATTTGGACTGAGGGAACGTGACATCTCTGTGCCATGCTGCTTCTTTCTCTTTCAGGAGAAAAGCTCCAGCCCCAGCCATGTTCTCTCCAGCTGCTGATAACCACAGGGAGGATCAATTAGTCAAATTTCACAGCTGGCTCTGGGAGAAAAAAAGCCCATGACACAAAACCTACTGGAAGTGTCAGCAAGGAGACCAGGCATGGGGTGAAAATCCCACCCCACTGCACTGGTGCATCCAGACCCAGGAATGTTCTTGGATGTCTCAGCTTCATCTCGAGCAGCAGTCACAGTCCCACTCATCAACCATTCCACAACCTCCCTGATGGTCTGCACACTTTATGAAATTATGTTTGGTGGACGGAACATAGATTCCCCATCCTTAAATAGCAAGCAGTGCTAACTGTACCCTAACATTACAGTTTATTCATGTCCTGTGGTTTACAGTCTATGGTGAGAGGCAGGAAAATACACAGTCTGGTGATCACTAAAGTAGTATGTAACAGTGAGATAGCTTTAACTTAATCACAATTCAGCCAGCTGTAAGAGTTTACTGTCATATCTACTCTTCTTTGATAAACCATAATGGCAAAAATACACTGTAATGTACCCAGTGTAAACTAGAGCACTCATTGTGGGAGTCTGGGCACACGCATGCAAACACCTCTGAGGGGTCTACAGGGCATCCAGCTTCCATCTGCACAACCACCGTGGCAAGAAACTTCATTTCCATCTGACTACAAGTTCTAATGGATTGGATGTCCTTCCCTTTTAAACCATGACCCCCTGGATGGACAGGGTGGGCAGTGCCAGGGCATTGGCACGAGGGACTCCGAGGGACACCAGGCAGTCACATCTGGTCTCCATATACATCTTGCTTGGCTTATCCTGTGGTCTCCCTACAGCTTAAAAAACAAGGCAGACGGGAACGGTGCGCCGAGCCTTCCTGCAAGGAAAGCTCCCCAGGGCATCCCAGGGTGATTTACACAATTATTCATAACTGTACAGTGACCAGACAAAAACAGATGCAGGGGTAATGACTCAGCTGGACTTGGACAGGCCACCGTATGTTGAAATCTTTTTAACTCCTCATTCTTTACAACCACTTTACTCAGAGCTCACCATCCCACCGAGCCACCTGGTCTTATTTTTCCAATTGCAATATAAACAGTGGGAGCTGTGACATACTTTTTATCATTAATCTCCCATCTCTGAAAATAACTCCGCGCCATGTTTCTTGGACTGCAGTTTAATAGCTGTTTTCTCCTTTTGGAAACTAAGCCTGTGGTATTGCAAATATCAATTTGAGCAATACCCAAAATTGTGCCCACAAATTCAGATTAAAATACTGTCAGTGAGCTACGAGCACTGTGCTCCTTTAGGGCAGAAATCATCCCTTTCAACACACTTCAAAAATATGTAAAGTAAAGAGAACAGCCAAAGAGATTATTAAGAGGAATAGAAGACTTTTAGAAAAACATTTAATTCCTTCATGAGTTTAGGGGAAAAGCCTGATTGATATTTGTAATCTTTTGGTGGACAGAGCTGTCATTTAATTTAGCTTGCATGACTGAAAGAATTTAACAAAAAGTGTTCCATAGAGTTTTGCTGAAATTCTTCACATGTTTTTAGTAAGCCTCTGGAATACGATCAAACCTAAAAAGCTGGAGAGGACGGAGACTGAACTTGCAGCTAAAATAATATTCAGAATTGTAATATATGCTTAATAATCAAGTATTCACATCCAGCAGGAAAAGTGCAGAAACGCCTCTGGATCCCCAGTCACGTGTCCATGTGCTGCTTGGCATCAGTCAGGGAACCCTGGGAACTCAACCCAGCAGTGAAAACCAAGCCCTGGCTCTGCTAGAAACCTCCCAAAACTCAACCAAACCCACCAACTCATGACTGTGTGCAAAACTCAAGAAGCCTTCTTTCATGAGCCTCCTAAGGAAGAGTTTTGGAGGAGCAAAGGTCTTATTTCCCCTTTCACTATGCCAGTCACTCAATTCAGCCACACACTTTCAGGTACATGACACAAGTGCCATGGTACTTCCCACACAACTCCCAAGATTCCAAACGGGTCAGGTTTTTCTATTTTAAATTCCAGCCTGCTGAAAACACTAGGTTTAGGGGAGAAAAACTGGATCTTATGGCCAATCCTGACCTTGAAATCTGCAATACCAAATAATTTATGTGTGGCTTTTAAATCAGGGCAGCATCATGGGAAACGTGCAGATTTTCACACGATACTGTTCCCTGTTAACAGCTCATTACAATGTACAGAAGTATATTCCCATTATGAAATACAGCTGGGGTTGTTTTGCTTACGAAGGTCATTATCTGATCACAGGCAAGAACTGGGGAAAGGAACCCATTTTATAAGGCTGAAGTTGTGGACTTTTTG